TTAGAGCAATTTTACCTATATATTCCCAAAAATTCTAGTTTAGCACTTCTTAGTTGGGATTCAGGAATCTGTAGTTTAACAACTCCACCAGGTGATTCTCATCATGAGAGAGGTTTGGGAAACACTGCTGTAAGAGGTAGGCAACACCGAGTCCATATTGCCACCCCATTCCCTGTAAATAAAAAACAGGTTCACTGACTTTTCCAGATTAACAACAAGTGGTGAACCTACAGAAAGTCATGGCCCTTGACTCCCAGTCCCCTAAATCTGTCACTCTCTGCACCTCTCCTAAAAGGCAGCCAAAACAATAAGGCTGCTAGTACCTGGAGCTCTAGGTCAGGCAGGAGGACTGAGTCAGAGCCTGGTGGCCTTCAAGGTTTCCCCACAGCTGGGTTATGTCCTCACAAGACCTGCACCCTTTCGTCTTCTCCACTTGGCTTTCCTCCTCTGTCTTCTTTTTGACACTGAACATCGCTTCTGCTCTTGGCCCCGATGACATCATAGATGGCCAGTTTCTGCAAAGTGCCGAGTTTGGCTGCCAGCTCTATCAAAACCTCTTACCCAGTGAAGAGCATCAGCTTCTTTCCTGAGATCGTCCCCTCTAGAGAGAGTCCATGGGGGAGGCAGAGGAGCTTGCTGTGCAGGAACCTTCTGGACTCCAGAGAACCCCGGAGGCTACTTCAGAGAAAGCCACCAGGGACCTCAACTACATCAACAGACCATGGGGAATGCTCCCTGTGACACAGAGATTTTCTTGCCAGTGAAGCAGGTCACAGGAGGGGGGCACTAGCCCACGCCTATGTTCCCAAGGTGCTATTTTGGGCCTGGAACTGGCACAGCCCCGTGTGCAGCACTCAGAGGTGCAGCTGGACAATGCTTTGACCTGCTCAGGGAACAAAGGGCAAGGGTCAGCCCCGTGAACTCTGTACCCAGACCATCCCAGATCTGTGAAAACTGGTCTGGGCTATGGCCCCTTGAAGACCCAGTTGTACATTTCCTGGGAAATGTCTCTTCCTAATGGGGAAGGTTCCCCAGAAAATCCAGATATGCTCAGGGAGTCTGAGACTATATCTGAGTAGGTGCTTCCTAGTCAGTCCCAAGAGATGCTGCAGCTGTCTGGTTCCCAGCCTGCATCGGGTTGCAGACAAGTAATAATTAGCTTTAACTTGTGTAAATAATCTATGTGTTGCCCTTGTGGACAGGCCCTATGCTGATTCTGTTTGGTCCTGGTTGGCCCATCTAACCCCAAGGTCTTCATGTTCTCTTTTTCTGATTTCTGGAGACTGGATGGATTAATGCAGAAAAGAAAACAGATGGGAATGAGAGATCAGGATTTAGCAGGGGCTGGGCTGGGCTGGGCCGGGCCAGACTGATTGGGGCGTGGCTCATGAGTTAGGTGGGGAACACTCTTCCTTCCTCTTGGGCCCCAGGAGGGAGGCTGTTTTTGGTCAGGAGAACAGCTGAGGGGAGAGAGAGCTCAGAGGGGATTTGCAGCCCCTGTAAGCACAGGAGCTGGCCTGTGCTGCTTGGGGTCTCCTTGAGTCCCCTGAGTGCTATTCCAGCCAGTGGAGGGGACAAAGTCTGGAGCGGAGGTTGCAGATTAGAGGTCTGTGGGCCAGGCTTAGCCACAAGTAGCATGTGGTTCTAACAGTATTTCCTGCCCCCCCCCCCCCCCATTTAAATTAGTCATTTTAAAAACAGAAACTTATCTTTAAATCTGGATGTCCAGCTACTTGTAAGAAATGGGACTATCTAGCAACACAGGGCCCACACGGGCAGCCAGAGTTGAGTAGCAGCTGCCTCCTTTAGCGGGACACACTCAGTGTGCCGGAACAGCATGCCCCCGGGGAGCAGTGCCAAGGGCAGTCAGGAGGCCCCAGCCTACGACTGTGAAAGAAACTGTTCAGAGCTCCGCAGGCCTTGGAGCAGGAGGCCAGGCTGGCTCAGGGCAAGGATGGTTTCTGAGGACTGGAAGAAATGGGCAATTGTTTGCCTCTGTTCTCTGCCTCAAGGCCATGAGTCATTCTTGCTCCTATCACCAGAAACCGAGGGCCCTGCAGTTCAGGCTAACACAATAAATGAGGCAAGTCTCTCCTGCCCCCAGCTCAGAAGATACATGTGCTTACTCCAAGCCACCAACGGCATCGCCTCAGAGCCGTGCTGCACGAATGAAGTGTCTTTTCAGTCAGCATGCAGCAGATTTCGGGAAAGCTTGAACTTTCAGTTTGGGATTTGGAGCGGGGAACTCAACGATCTCAAGCTCAGGCGCCACCATGTCCAGCAAACACAGGAGTGAGAGCTGAGGTGCACATGCGTCCTAAGACATGAACCCAGAATTTGCCAAGGAAGGAGTATTTCACACTCCTTTCATTTTACTCCTGAAAGAATGCAATGAAAGCTATGAGGGGGAGTCATGGGTAAATTCAGGAATATCTTTAAACCCTAGAGGTGGCTAATAAGAACTATACTCCAAAAGATACCAAGCCGAAGCATCCACCCCGTTGGAACATGCAAACCACGTGCCTGTCACCAAACCCATAGCACACAAGAAAGATTCAGAATACCCTGGACATACAGGGGGACTGAGCTTAAGACTTTTTCAAAACTCTAAAACCCAGTCTATAGACAGACAAGACAGACTCCCTGGGGTGGTGCTGGGAACCAGCGTGACTGCTTAGATTAGGGGTGTTGAACTCAATCAGAGAAGGGGCCAAAATCTAAAATCCAGCCTAAATCGCGGGCCGAATGGTTTACTGAACAGTCATAAACTGTCATTGTGATGGAAACACAGCGGAGTGCAGTGATGACAGCGCGGTGCGGGCCACATTGCAAGGCCTGGCGGGACGGATTTGGCCCGAGGGCCTTGTGTTTGACACATGTGGCTTAGATGGAGACTCTGATGAGGAAGCAGAAGCACCGCCACAGAGAGGGGTGCAGGGCAGTCCTGGAAGAGCAGCTGCGGCGGCTGCAGAGAACTCAGGGGCCTCACTGCAGCCATGACCTCCGAGGCCTGGTTACCTGCCAGGCCCTGCCTTCCTAAAACACCCTCCTCCTGACAATTTCATGACAAGTTCCCTTCCACGTCCAAATTTTCTTTCTCTGTTTTTTTTTTTTAACTCTTTTGTTTGTTTGTATTATTTTTTTAAATAATATTCCATAGTCTTCCCGCCTCAGCCCCATACTCAACCACACCTTGTGCAGCCTTGAAAAGACAACCTAGTGGGTTGTTCTACGTACTCTTTGTGAAAATGCTTTTCTGCCATTTGAGATTTTTCTATCAGTCTATTTTCTTTCCTGGATTTTTATTTTTATTTTTTAAAATACATTTTACTGATTTCATAGAGGAAGGTGGAGGGAGAGTCAGAAACATCAATGATGAGAGAGAATCATTGATCCGCTGCCTCCTGCATGCTCCAAACTGGGGGCTGAGCCCACAACCCGAGCATATGCTATGACCGGGAATTGAACCATGACCTCCTGGTTCATAGGTCAACGTTCAGCCACTGAACCACACCAACTGGTCTTTCTTGGTTTTTTAAAGGAAAAAGTCAAAACTTTTTAATAAATAGAAAAAAATAGAAAGACTCAACTTCTATCACTCCTCAGATTTTCCGGGAGTAGGATGAACAAGAGAAATGGCACACAATTGAAAGAGAAAATCGAATGGGGCCAAGAATGTGGTAACTTATTCATCAGCAATGAAAAAAATAACAAATTAGGAACAGCCTGCGAGCTGCTGGAACTCATTTTTTTTATAAAGCCATTTGACTTTTTAAAAAGCGTTTCAAAACACACTCAAACAACGCTGGAGACACCTGGGAGCTGAGAGGTTTATCCTGAGACCAAAGGTCAGAGTCTAAGCCTCTGAACAATTTTAATTTTATGCTGATAAAAAAACAGAGCTCTGAGGGAAAGATTGCCAGTGGTCATCTAATCAAACCCCCTCATATGAAGGAACTGACTTTCCTTGTTTAATCAGCAAGCACCTGAGAACCTTTTATATGCCAGAGCAATACCAGGAGCTGCAAAGCATTCGCCCATAAACTTTAGTCATGATTTAGTTCTCAAAGTAACTGAAAATGCAAGAAGGATGCAAGCTAAGGAAACCTATTAAGTAGCTGTATTAATATATTTCATAAAGTAAAATTCTAAATAGCTCCTCAATAGGTTCTAAAAAGACTTTTGATAAAAATTCAATATTCTTTCTAAAAAATCATAGCTCACTATTTACAATAAGTTAAAACTGTTCAAGAGTAGAAGAGTCAATTAATTATGATACTTTCACATATTTATAAATGACAGTAAGGACAACTCCACAGACAAATTTAAAGAAGCGGGGGGGAAGGGGGGGAACACCTATGATGTGAAGCATACAAAATCCTAGGACTACACTGCATGGTGAATAGAATTCTGCAAATTATATGTACACGTAACAAGAAGGACCAAAAGAAAATAAGGAGAAGACATTTCAGAGATTTATTTGACTGGGAGGAGAACAGCTAATTTTATTTTTCATCTTGGTGTATATTAAATTATATTAAAATATTATTTATGCAATACATTTCATCAAAGACTACACAAGCGTGTGGAGGGGAAGAATTGGGAAACGGGCACAAAGATATGCTAACCGACTGGCTTTCTAAAACCCCACATGCTACCTGCAGTCAAGCTGGGGTTCACGTGATAGTATGAGGGTGACTTTGCCAACAGAGAGCTCCTTCCCTGAATCAGACCAGGAGAAAGTGCTGCCTGGGAATCTGTCTAACCAGCCCAACAGGTTATTCATGGCCGACCAGCCCCCGCTCCTCCCTCTCCCGCCCCACCTCCCTCCTGCTCTGCAGTGCTCAATGTTCCAGCTGGTTTCACCTGCTGAATCAACACCACACACTGAGCAGCCAATCCCACCTCCAGGGAGGATGGGAAAGCAGGAGCCTTAACCCTGACACAGAAAGGGGCTTGAACACTAGAACCCCAGGGCCTTCAGCCCCGTCCGCCCTTACCTGTTGAAGCATCTCTTCAGCAGCATTGAGCTTCACCTGGTGTCCTTCCAGACACACCTCCAGGTCCCGAATCTTCTCTCCTTGGGCTTCCACTTGGTCTGTGAGGACACTCACCTGCTGGGGGAAATAAAGCAGCGGTAGTGGAGGGAGGGGCAGGAATGGCTCCCCCCGGAGGTGAGCCCTGTAGCCACAGCTCCTTACATAGGAAGACTGGCTTTTCGGCTTAATGGGTGCAGGCAGGTCGGGGAAGAGTTCTGGATGAAGGAAACTCCCGGTTTCTTACCTGGCCAGGGAGTCTCAGCTGTCTCAATAGCCTCGGTCGCGTTTCCTGCTCTTGACAGGCTCAAGAGAAAAACACCCAGCGCAGCGGTCACAAGAGCTGCCTCTGGGCTGAACCCTGGCTCTTATTCCTCTTTCAGAGATCCCTCTGGCAGCCCCGACCTCCAGGCACAGCACAGCACAGCAGGCTGGCTTGCCTGGGTTCCTGCCACCTCACGTGGAAGAGCAGACCAAGCTGTGTGGAGACTAACCAATGACCTCACCTCTCTCATAGGGTGTGAGGGCTGCTCACCTATCAGGCGAGTGTTCTGAAGCGATTAAGGAATGTGGGACGCAAAGGGCATGCATTAGCACTGACAAAACTTGGCTCCAGAAAGGGTTTTGTGCTTCACAGGCCAAAACATGACTCTTAAGTCATAAATATCCACAAGCCACACTGCACATACAGTGGCAGGGAAACAGGGCATCTTTCTGGAAAACACTGAAAATATTTAGTGGAATTAATTGGAAAAATACAATTTTAATGAACTATTTAAATTAATACCCTAAATATATACGGAAAGGATTTTTTTTTTTTCCTGCTATGTTAGCAAACTGCCCTAGGATCCATTTCTTTTTGTTTCTTTTTCTTAACTAGCAAGTGCCTCAGACCAGAAAGGTGAAGAAATGGAATGGGTGACCTCCCCAAAACAAAGCAATCAGTGCCTGGTAAATGGAGATCCGTTAGACCCATTTGGCTTTTCAGTAATGGCTGAGTCATTGCTGTTTACACCTAGATGATCCTACATGGCTTCTCAGCCTGTACAGGAACAAGAGCTGGAGCAGGAAAGCGTTCATGTGAATTCATTCAGGAGTGTTTAAATGAACTTCATGAATTATAAAGCTCCCCTTACAGAGGAAGGAGTCTAAATTAATATAGGCTGCTTTAAGCTTTCCATTTTGATGGTCCAGAGTGATTAATGAATTATGGAAACATATTGAGGCATGGCGTGCTAACATTTCAATTATAATCCAAAAAATGAGCACCTTCTGTTAACCAGACCCATTTTAAACATAAACTTTTGTGGGGCTTTTTGTTTCTGAATCTTTACTGCCTAACAGCATCATCAGTCTGGCCTTTTCAAGTACTACCTCTCCTTTCAAAAGGGTAGGATTCCAGGAGGTGGTCTTTGGGCCTGGCTCCCAGAGTTGCTGCTGGGAAGGATGTGTTCCAGTTAATCTGGCTCTGAGGATTAACACCTAAAGCCTGCACCACGCCCTGTGCCTTGGGGCCATGCACAGGTGGTACCCTAAGGCAGTGTTTCCCAAAGTGTGGTACGTGTACCCCCAGGGGTACGGGAAGAGTTTGGTGGGGGTACGTGTAGCACCGGAGTTTGGTGGGGATACGCACTGCACTGTGCTTAGCTGCGCCTAATTCTACGTTCTCATGAGTACGAGGGGTACTCAGCGTTACGAAAATTATAGAAGGGGTACACGTATGTCAAAAGTTTGGGAAACACTGCCCTAAGGAATGACATGTGGTCTGTAGCGTTCCATAGCTCCTAGCTCAGCTGCACGTCTGACTCAAGACACACAGGGCTGCAGGGTCCTGAGGAACCACACTACCTGCTCAGAATTATGAATGGAGAGGTGTAGGAAATTAGGACATCATTAGAGGTATAGAGATCTTAGAATGGAACCTTTATGTAATAAAAACAAATATTTTTGAGCTCCTACTACATGCCAGGCATGATTTTAGACACTGGGAGATACAGAGGTTAAAAAAGAAAAGAAATGCCTTGCCTTCAGAACTCTAATGAAGAGATAAACAATTTTGTTTTTTGTTTTTAACTAATCCTGGGAATAAAGTATTTGATTCTGTGCGATTCCCCTTGTTCTTCTACAAGTAAACCCAGGAAAAGATGGGCCAAGGGCTTCAAAGAATTCTGTCTAAGTAAGAGGCCTCGCTATGCTGGGAATGGACCCCATGGGGCCACCCGACAGCGGTGATGATGGGAGAGCAGCTCTGAGTCTGTCCACAGGCTCCAGGCAGAACAGAAATCGCCGGGATCCACTTGTGACTTTCCTAATAAGCAGGTTTCCAATTGTGTTACAATTATTTAAACAAGAATTTGGAAGTTTTTTTTAAAACACACACACACACACACACACACACAAAACGACAACATGCACATCAAAGAGATGATCACACAGGACTTTTATTAAAATGTAATCAATCCACTAACTAGGAATGTGTTATGTCAGCCATGAAGGTTTCTGGTTCAAAAGTTTGCAATTTCATAGTGTTTGCTATAAAATTTTAAACTGGACACTCTTTCAATAATCATCTCATTGGGATGGCATTTCAAATTACACATTCCTCAAAACGTCTGTGCTCTAATGGGCTATATAATCTGGCCTCTGTTTCTTTCTGAAGGCAGTTCCCAACTGGCCTCCCTGCAGGTCACCAATTAAAGTAATATGGCCCCTTCCTGTTCTGTCCCACACACTGAGCACAGCCCTACCCCAGGGCCCATGCTGAACCCGCCACTTCCTTGGCCTGGAATGTGCTTTTCTCCAGCCACCAAGTAGCTCCCTGCTAACTCCAGTCAGGTGTCCTCCTGGCAGGGGCGGTCTAGCCTGACTACACAGTCCTTACCCTGCTCTCTTTTTCTCCATAGTATGTATCACCACCGGAAGCATTCTGTGTATTGGTTTATTGTCTATGCACACACACACACACACACACACACACACACACGAATGGAAGCTTGAGTGCAGGGACTGGCTTAATCTGTTTCCTTTGCTCCTGCTTCCCCAGCACCTGCAGCCAGTGTCTGCCAAGCTGGATGCACTCAAATATATTTAATGAACCAAATCAATGAAGTAAAGGGGGGAAAAAACCTGTGTAACTGTATAATTGGTTTGAGCTTAATTATTTAAGATGGGGTAGGACAGGATAAAAAAAGGCTGGGACAAAAGGCCAAAATGTTAAATTCTTTTTGCTATCCCAAAGTTTCTAAAGTAATCATTTATTATTCTCACATTCATAAAATGAAGTGTAATGCATAAAATTAATAAGGTAAAATAAGATTTAGAAACAAACAAACATACTGCAGCCTCTTAACTCTAGTGCTAACTCCAGGGCTCCAGGCTAACGCTCACAGTCTGGGAGTGGGGAGGGATGCGGGGAGGGAGGCTCAGAACCCTACATGCCCCCTCCTCCATTCCACTACCAGTCTTGTCCAGCACCCTTCAAGTCTTATAAAAAACTAAGATTCGGACATGAATCCTATTATTCTCCAAACATCAATGCACACCAGAGCTTGCTGCTTGATCTGTGCAGCTGAGGGCTAGCAGAGCGGAGAGCCCCTGCCACAGCCATAGGCCTCCCACAAGAATGCTCACCTTTCTGTCCTACCGAGGAATGTTCGCTTTCAGAACTGAAAGTGTTCCTTCGACTATCTCCAGGAAGAGTTTTGGAGTTCCTCTCTTTGAAGCAAGAGAGTCATCAAAGGCTTATTACCCCATGTTACCATCTAAGGGGTCTGGCTTTAAAGGTTCAGTCTGTATCCACCTCCAGATTATTTGGGCCTGATCCCATTAACATGCACCCTTAGGCCCGGATCAGTCATGGCTGTTTCACTAGTGACATGAAGACGCCGTTTATCATCTGTGCAAGACTCCTGGGCTCCTAGAAGGTAAGGCCCCGTTAACCAGCCTGGCCACAGAGCTTCCAGCATATGGAGGCGGGTGCTTGGTAGTCCATGGTGGATAAATGAACACATTCACAGTCCCCCAAAGCCAAGTCCAGAGTGAAATTGTGCCCCCAGTTACTTTCTGCTGTGTTTCAGGAAACGTCTTTCTAAAAACATTTAGTTTGGGAGCAAAATAAACCCAACAGAGAGAATCCCTGTGCTTTCTCTCCCACTTAGGGCAGCTGCAGAGTTGGAGGCGATAGGATATGCGATTCCCGCCAAAAAGAACCCACCTGTAATATGAGGGACTCCTTGTCTCCTTCTAGACGTGCCAGGCGTTCCTGGTATGTTTCATTATTAGCAGCACCGTGGTGATTTACCTGGGACTAAAGAGAAGAGGGAAAAGAAAAAGGATGTACTTGAAAGATGAGAAAAACATCTTACCAACTTCCAAATGAAGTATGCAATTTGTGTGGACAGTTGCACTGTTTATATGTGCAAAACCACCCACCTGAACAGGAAACCAGAGGATTCCAACTACGACAAAGAGAACGTGACCAGATACTGGTGACGGGTATGTTTTGAAAGTTGGCAAAACCACCCCCTCAGGTGACCTCACCCTTGGCCAGGAAGGCCTCCGTGGAGCTCCAGACCCAGTGGTGCCTGACTTGACTGGATGTGTTGGGTCTGGTCTAGCTGGAGGCACAACCTGCCAGAGGCACCAACAGCAATGGGGTTCTACTCTGTGAGGAGCCCGGGAAGCTCATACCATTCGCTAAGGAACTATGTGGGAACAACTCCTGCAGAGATCTTGGAATCTCTGAACTCTCACGTCAGGCTTCACCAGAGCCAAGGCACACCTCCCAGCATGGAGGTCCGTCCTGAACCTCACAGTGAACATGGAGGACAGGGATGCCAACTGCAAGGTCCTTCACCTACTCACATATCTGTTCCAGAGATGGTCATTCCCACCCCTGATTATGGCTCTGGCAGCCAGGCTGGCACACTGTGTATGCTAGTTTGTTTTTTTAACCTATATTTTTATTAATTTTTAGAAATAGAGGGAGGAAAAGGGATAGAGAGATAGAAACACCAATGAGAGAGAAACTCTCATAGATCGGCTGCCTCCTGCACAATCCCTACTGGGGATTGAGCCACAACCCAAGCATGTTGATTCCCTGTTTGGGAATCAAACCAGCGACCTCTTGGTTCCTGGGTCGACACTCAACCCCTGAGCCACGCCAACCAGGCCACACTGTGTTTCTACAAAGCTAGAGCTGAGAGAAGCAAGCTACGATTAAACATCTTGAAGAGAACCTAAATAACCCCCGAGGGCTCTCAGAGGGACAAGCAGAGAAAACAGTAAATGAAAAGTAGCCAGAAACCATGGAAAACAGAGGAAAGGGAAAAGATTAGAAATGGCAGAGGAGAGGCAGAAGCTCATAAAATGCGCTGAGCTGGAGATGGAGCGGGAGTGACTTTCAGGGTGTGTCTGACCCGGGTGTGGAGGGAGGAGTGAGGGAGCTGCTAATGCAACAGACCTGGCCCGATGCCACCGAACACTCCCTTCCTCTGTGCTGAACGAAAGGTCGAAACCAGAGGCCCACCAGCGGCCATCAAGGGGCCCGACAGTCTGAAAAAGTAGGTGTGATTGCTAAATGAGGAAGTGGTGATCATGATCTGGGCTGCTCCAGAGAAATGAAAGCTCCAAGGTTCATGAGACATGTTACCTGTGCCCAAAGGAAGGTCATGATCGTGCAAAAGGGTCAGTGAGGAGCCCAGGCGCAGGGGACTGGATCCGGCTCCCTTCTCCAAAGCCCATTTCCCCACATTCCAACCTTCAGAATGGGCTTTCCAACCCCCCTCCATTAAGAAAGGGCACCTCCTTCCTACCCCTTCCCCAGTGCGCTGGGATGGGAGGTGTGGGAAAGGGCAGATGGCAGAGCCAGGCTGGGCCCTAGAACAGAAACAGGGACCAAGCGTTCTGCATTGAAGCAGGAGTCACGCTGGGAGAGAAGCACGGGCTGTGTGGAAGATGCAGTGGGAGGGCCAGCCCAGGGGCCAGTTCCCAGGGTGGCCGTGCCAGGCTCAGGCCAGACAGGGCCCAAGGCCCTGCCACACCACTGCCTTTTGCACCAGCTCTCTGCAGTCTGCATCTTGTTCATTGTTATGGAAGCTCTTTCACACCATAAACAAAGGGCTTTCACAATCACAAAAGGGCTTCTTTGTGTGGATGGCAGTTTATTGTTGTTACATTAATTCATATTCCAGTCCTCACATGGTCAAGCTCTCTGACTAGTATTTAGGGATATAATTATAGCCTACATTTTTCTCAGAGTCTTACAAGAAGAGAGAGAAAAATAACTCTCAACAGCGGGTCAAAGCTTCCTCTGTCAGAGAACTGACATGTTGGTGATGTTCAGGGGCCGGGGAGAATAGAAAAGGACCCCAGCACCCACGTGAAGCTCTGCGTGTCCAACCCAGTGCCAAAGTTGGCATGTGCACGGGGCCACCCAGCACGGGCAGCTGCCACTTCTCCAGCAGGAGGTGAAGGAGAGAAGACCAAAGGGAAAATTCCTGCAAGGCTCCAGCAAGTCGGGGCACCAACTGTGCCTCAGTCCAAAGGGGTGCAGCAGGCTCTTCATCACAACAAAAGGTCAACCCGTGCACTCACCCAGAGGCAGCTATGTTCACTAGTTGAAAAAAAAAAAAATGAAAAAAAATGGAAGACCAAGAAAGATGATTTCAATCGTAAGTTCAGTTCATATACAACATGCATGCCATAGAATCTACAGCACATGCTAGACTAGAAGTAGATTAAAAAAAAAAATCCAAATCCACCCTAGCAGTCAATGGAAAAGGGGAGCGTGATGAATAAAAAGGCACAGAGCAGTACAGTCATGTCACAGTGACTACCTGGGAGAAGCACAACTATCCCCGACCGAGGAAGGGAGGAACGCCTCTTATTTTCACAGAGATTGTGAAATGGGAAAAACAGCATCCATGATAATACCTTCACAGTAAACCAAGCCCAGAACTCATGCTTTCCTGTGAGGCCCTCTAAATAGGTTAAGGGTTAATATGGGCCAAAGGCCAAAGCAAGTCTATGGAGACCGATACCATGTGGTCCAAGCACAGTGCTGTAAACACATAGCAAGCATATAGGTACTGTTCACATGTGTCTGGCACTGTTGAGAGCACCTGACATACATGAACTCATTTGCTTCTTCCCACAAGCCCGTGAAATGGACATTGTTTTTATTCCCATTTTACAGGTAAAGGAACTGAGGCACAAGTGTATGAACAAGGCACAAATGGATAATTTGCCCACATTACCATGTACTAAATTGATAAGCTTTCTATTGTTATAACTTACTTGAGGAGCAGATCAAATACCAGTTTTGCTTTATATATTAAGATTGAATGAAAATTGACTTACAATAAAGTTTTTAAGTTAAATAAAATTTTGTCTGACCCTAAATGTCCATTATTGGAAGAGTGGCTAAGTAAACTGTGGGTTATTCCTATTATAGACGATTTGAAGCATTTTAAAACATTAAGTAAAGCCCTGGTTGGATAGCACAATTGGTTAGAGCACATGTGTCAAACACAAGGCCCGCGGGCCAAATCCGTCCCGCCAGGCCTTGCAATGTGGCCCGCACCACGCTGTCATCACTGCACTCCGCTGCGTTTCCATCACAATGACAGTTTATGACTGTTCAGTAAACCATTCGGCCTGCGATTTAGGCTGGATTTTAGATTTTGGCCCCTTCTCTGATTGAGTTCGACACCCCTAGGTTAGAGTGTTGTTCTGATATGTCAAAGTTGTGGGTTTGATCCCCTGTCGGGGCACAAATAAGAATAACCAATGAATGCATAAAAAATGGAACAACAAATGGACGTTTCTTTCTCCCTCTCTCTCTCTCTCTCATATAAACCAATCAATAAAATTAAAAAAAAAACACGAGGTACATATGTGTGGATGATTATAAAAATGTAAGACATATTAGTTAAAATATCAAGATGCATAATAGATTGTAGTACTAGAAAACAACACTATACAACCCCATAGGTGTTGCTATCTATATGAAAATCAATAGATAAGTATTTGGAAGGTCACATAACAAGACTTAACAGTGCTCTGGGGAAGTGTCTAGATGACAAAAAGCTGGGGATGGGAGGTTTGGTAAGGATGATCTTTTACCTTAACCATAATATTTGAGTTTCTTAGGAAAAAAAATGTTTATTTTCTTGAGTAATTAAAATGTACTTTAATGTCTAGAAGCTCTGTCTGAGAATCTAGAGTAGTGGTGCCTGGTACTTTGTTCCTCTCATAACAGACTTGAGGGGCACATCGCCTCTCAGCCAGCCACACTGGCCCAGACCACAGTGATGCTCATGGCAGAAAGGTCCCTCCCACATCCCAAATCACTGTTCTAGCATCTTCCTCTCATACAGTCTTCCCAAAACACCGCTGTTCTCCAGCAAGCCTTTGGAAGATATTAAACACCAGTGAAATAGAGATGTCCCAGATAAAAGTGGCTTTTGGTGAAATACAGAGCAATATCTTCACAATCTAGATGAGACTTACATCTTAACAAAACTGCCATCAACAGCAGAGCACAGACCAAAATAAAATGCCACCTCCCCTTGAAGAAAAACCTGGAAAGCGTCTGAGAACAGCGCCAAGAAGATGGTCTTAGAATCATCTTGTTGAATACTAGCATCCATCAGTCAAAGTGAGGATTTGAGTTGAGGTATATAAATGTATAACTCCCTGTTCGAGTAGTAATTGGGCAGCAAGTTCAATCATTTCCTGTTGTCATTTTTGGATTGCAAAACAGGTATGTTATCAAGGCATAAAAGGCCACGTGGTTATGTAAATGCCACTCTAATTATTCAGAAATGTGTTTCAAAAGACATGGTTGGAACACAGCTCTGTTTTGCCCTACTTTAAGAAGAACTTGTTTTGTCAGAGGGTATGCATGCTTCCTTAATTCTATCAGTGGAACTGCAGTAGTAGAATTCTTGGATCAATACTGAGACCATACATATCTGGGTCCCTGAGTGATTCTAGGTTTGAGAGTCTCTAAAAATTCTTGGACATATTCTCTGTTGGGTAAGTCAGTGATAGAGTGGTTGCCCAGCTCCATGTATGAAGTCAGGTTAAGAGAAGCAAGCCAGCTATCCACAGATGAGAGAAAGTCAAATTGAATTAGGAAGGAAGCTACATCCTAAATTTCCATTCCTCCCCACTCTGAGATGGCAAGTGTATTTTAAGGAGAATTTCTATCCTATTCTATGCTATTGAGAATGCTCATTCCATTGATGAATCCTATCTAATAAAGAGGAATATGCAAGTTGAACATCACACCATCACAAAAGA